GCAGACAGATGCTGATTTTTATGTTTAGAAATCCACCAAGATAGAAATGTAAATTTAGAAATCCACCAAGATCTAAATAATCTGATAAATATGAACTATTCTGCCACAACAGCAATGGCAGCTCCAGAACTTTAAAGAAGAAGGTTCAGTGACAGCAGGTTTATCTCACAACTGTGCATAAGCCCACTGCCTTCGTTTACACAGCATGTATTTAGTCCCCAATAACATCTATTGGGCCTCCAAGCCACCCCTCAGCACTGCTACTGCCCACTCAGATCCTCAGAAAGAGGCGTAAAGGCTGGACACAAACATGATCCAGCCAGGTAACCTACAAAAATGAAACCACCAGAGGTAACAGACCAGAGAGAGTATCCCAGACAGGTAGTCACTACTTACGGCTGCTTAATGTCCATCCTGCAGTCACCAGGCCTTGCAATTTTGCAAAAGGTTGTGTATGTGTGTGCGTATATGTGTAGTATAGTGTGAAATACCTTGACGAAATATGTGGTTCAAATACTGACCAACTATATGAATCAGACAAGATGTGTATGTCTGCTATGGCCCAAGAATCACCAGTTTGCCTCAGAACTGGCTGATAAAAAAAGAGAAGGTGCCGGGTGCGGTGGCTCAAGCCTGTAATCCCAGCACTTTGGGAGGCCGAGGCGGGTGGATCACGAGGTCAAGAGATCGAGACCATCCTGGTCAACACGGTGAAACCCCGTCTCTACTCAAACTACAAAAAATTAGCTGGGCATGGTGGTGCGTGCCTGTAATCCCAGCTACTCAGGAGGCTGAGGCAGGAGAATTGCCTGAACCCAGGAGGCGGAGGTTGCGGTGAGCCGAGATCGCGCCATTGCACTCCAGCCTGGGTAACAAGAGCGAAACTCCATCTCAAAAAAAAAAAAAAGAGAAGGCAGGAGGCCCTGATAAGTGCTAGTCTTAGAAATAAGAAGGAACTAATTAAAGCAGACAAGACATTGAAAAAGACCTTGTCCAATTCACAACCGAATAAAGTCCATCAGTAAACCCTAAATTCCTACACATCTAACTCCTGCAATGCTTAACTGTTTTTAACACCTATCTGCTTCCTACAGTCAACTGCAGGAAAAACCCTTAAAATGAAGACTCACTGTGCTAGGGAAAAAAAAAAAAAAAAAAGAAAGAAAGAAAGAAAAGGGAAAACTGGTGAAAATTAAGGTTCATTTCCCAGTAGACCTAAGGGAGAACTAAGAGAAGAATTCCTGCAGTGTCATCTGAGGCAGTTGGAAAGGAGCGTAGGTAAACAGGCCAACCTCTAGGGTCTTTGAGACGAAAACAGGTGGGAGAGGACGTCAAGGATAAGATGAAGCAGGGACTTCAACACAATCCCAATGGAGGGTAGAGGTGTAGATGAGAGGAAGAAAGAGGAAGAACAGTTAAAGCATGGAAGGAGACAGAAGAGAGAAGAGGGCCACGAGCATGTATCAGGCAGGGCTATAGAAGGGCAATCACCTTCTCGAAGGCCCCTTGGGATGTGTATGAGTAATAGGTACTCCCAAAGGAAACCATGGGGAACCCAGAACGACTCAGCCACATCAACATCATAATTGAAGTAAATGTATGTATTTTTGAGATCTACAATACCTAAAATCCAATGAGGTATAGGAGCTCCAAGGATCATATGTCCTGGCAGGAGGTGAGCAGCACTGAGTGGTTTTGAAAGGCAGGGAATCACCTTCCCAGCAGAGGAAGTGGCTTGGTTAAAAGCAAGTGGATCTGCCAGCTGTGATCCTCTGCTGGAGCTTCTCATTATTCCTATTTGATAGGAGGGAAAAGCTAACTCAGAGACGCTAACTGATTAGCTTTGAGTCACCACACCTAACTACTGACAAAGCTGAGAATAAAGCCAAACCTCCTGATTAGTACGATGGCATTTTTTTGTCTTGTGTACAACAACTAAGGTAAAATGGGTGCAAACCAGAGAAAAATGTAGCTTGGAATTATAGGAAATCAAATTTGAAGCAAATATTCAGGATAAATTCTCAATGAAACCAATAAAGAAAATATGAGGTGGCCAGGCACGGTGGCTTATGCCTGTAATCCCAGCACTTTGGGATGCTGAGGTGGGCAGATCACTTGAGGTCAGGAGTTCCAGACCAGCCTGGCCAACATGGTGAAACCCCACCTCTACTGAAAATAAAAAAATTAGCCGGGTGTGGTGGCACACGCCTGTAATCCCAGCTACTTGGAGGCTGAGGCAGGAGAACAGCTTTAATCCAGCGGGCGGAGCTCATGCCAATGCAGTCCAGCCTGGGCGACTGAGCAAGATTCTGTCTCAAGTAAGAGGAAGAAAAAGAAAAAGAAAAAGGAAGGAAAGAAGGAAGGAAAAAAGAAGGAAGGAAATTAAAGTAAAGCAACTGCTGATAAAAATGTTTTGGGGAGGGAGTGGATCCAAGATGACCGTTTAGGAACAGCTCAGGATTGCAGCTCCCAGTGAAAGCGCAGAGGGTGAGTGGACGCCACATTTTTATTGCCCACAGACTAGGAATTTCCCAGGTGGAGAAGCCCCACAGGTCGCCAGCGCGGCTGTTTCGGCCAGCGCCGCTGTGTCCGTCGGCGCGGCTGCTTTGCCCCGCGCGGGTGCTTTGTCAGCGCCCCGGAGCAGCGGTCTCCGTACAAATTACACCGGTCCGGGTGCCCTTTTGGCTGGCGATTGGAGCCACAGGAAGTCGCCCATTCATCTGTTTAAAAAGGAGACTGAACAGGGAACCAGGACAGTAGATTCCAGGGCACAAAAAGAGCCACGAATCTCAGTGCCGCTGTTTAAGCCAGCGCAGTGAGTCGTAGCACGGGAAAACACACAGATGCTGGCACCTCTTCAACAGGTGACTGGAACACCAACTTAAAAAAAAAAAAAAAAAAAGGCTCTGAGGCAGGGAGCCAGGCGATCAGGCTTGGCTGGTCCTACCCCCACAATCAGAAACTCTCTGGATTGAGAATTTCACAGCAAGTGCAGCTGAACCTGGGACGGTCCAGCTCTGTTGGGGAAGGGCATCCGCCATTACCGAGGCAGCCCGCCACTATGGAGGTAGTCAGCCAATTCTGAGGCAGCCTGCCGTTGCCAAGGCAACCTGCCATTGCTGAGGCAGCCCACCATTGCCAAGGCAACCCGCCACTACAGAGAGAGTCCGCCATAACAGAGGCGGGCCACCATTGCCGAGGCAGTTCTAACTACACCCATACAAACAGGACTGCAGGGAAGTTCACACGGCAGCTCAGCAAAGCCTCTACAGGCAGACAGTGACTAGGCTGCCTCCTTGCTGGGCAGAGCAGCTCTGAAGGAAAAAAAAAGAAGGCAGCAGCGTAACAGGAACTCATAAATAAAGCCCTAAATCCAGGGGACAGAGCACCTGGGAACAAAAAGTGGTTTATGAGTTCTGCTGCAGCAGACCTAAACGTACCTGCCCAGCAGCTCTGAATGAACAACAACAGAGCTCACAGCTCACCATTTGAGCTCCTATAAAGAACAGACTGTCTCCTCAAGCAGCTCCCTGAGCCCTGTATATCCAAAGAACCACCTCATAAAGGGGAGATCAGACTGACCCTAGGTGGTTATCCTTCTGGGACAAAGATAGCAGAAGAAGAAAAGTGGTAACAACCCTTACTGTTCAGCAGCTGCTGCAGGTGATCCCCAGGCAAGCAGCGCCTGGAGTGGACCTCAGCAGACCTACAGCAGAGGGGCCAGATTGTCAGAAGGAAAACCAAGAAACAGAAATAACCTCATCATCAACAAACAGAACGTCCACTCAAAGACCCAATCTGAAAGCCAGCAACTACAAAGATGACAGGTGGACAAGTCCATAAAGATGGGAAGAAACCAGCGCAGAAAGGATGAAAACACCCGAAACCAGAACACCTCTCCTCCTACAAGGGATCACAACTCCTCACCAGCAAGGGAACAAGGTTGGATGGAGAACGAGTGTGATGAAATGACAGAATCAGACTTCAGAAGATGGGTTATAAGAAACTTCTGTGAATTAAAAGAACATGTTCTAACCCAATGCAAAGAAACTAAGAACCTTGAAAAAAGATTTGACGAAATGCTAACGAGAATGGACAAAATAGAAAGGAATATAAGTGAATTGATGGAGCTGAAAAACACAACACGAGAACTTCACAAAGCATGCGCAAGTATCAACAGCCGAATTGACCAAGCAGAAGAAAGGATATCAGAGGTCGAATATCAACTCAATGAAATAAAACAGGAAGGCAAGAATAGAGAAAAAAGGGTAAAAAGGAATGAACAAAGTGTCGAAGAAATGTGGGACTATGTGAAAAGACCTAATCTACGTTTGATAGGTGTACCTGAGTGCCACGAAGAGAATGAATCCAAGCTGGAAAATACTCTTCAGGATATTATCCAGGAAAACTTCCCCAACCTAGCAAGGCAGGCAAATATTCAAGTCCAGGAAATACAGAGAACACCACAAAGATATTCCTCAAGAAGAGCAACCCCAAGGCACATAATCGTCAGATTCACCAGGGTCGAAATGAAGGAGAAAATACTAAGGGCAGCCAGAGAGAAAGGTCGGGTTACCCACAAAGGGAAGCCCATCAGACTCACAGCAGATCTCTCAGCAGAAACCCTACAAGCCAGAAGAGAGTGGGGCCAATATTCAACATCCTTAAAGAAAAGAACTTTCAACCCAGAATCTCCTATCCAGCCAAACTAAGCTTCATAAGTGAAGGAAAAATAAAATCCTTTGTGAACATGCAAGTACTCAGAGATTTTGTCACCACCAGGCCTGCTTTACAAGAGCTCCTGAAAGAGGCTCTACACATATAAAGGAACAACCAGTACCAGCCACTCCAAAAACATGCCAAATGGTAAAGAGAATCAACAGAATGAAGAATCTGTGTCAACTAATGGGCAAAACAGCCAGCTGGCACCAAAATGGCAGTATCAAATTCACACATAACAATATTAACCCTAAATGTAAATGGACTAAATGCCCCAATCAAAAGACACAGACTGACAAATTGGATAAAAAGCCAAAACCCATCGGTGTGCTGTATCCAGGAAACCCATCTCACATGCAAGGATACACAAAGGCTCAAAATAAAGGGATGGAGGAACATTTACCAAGCAAATGGAGAGCAAAAAAAAGCAGGAGTTGCAATTCTCATCTCTGATAAATTAGACTTTAAAGCAACAAACATCAAAAGAGACAAAGAAGGACATTATATAATGGTAAATGGATCAATGCAACAAGAAGAGCTAACGATCCTAAATATATACGCACCCAATACAGGAGCACCCAGATACATAAGGCAAGTTCTTAATGACTTACAAAGAGACTTAGACTCTCACACAATAATAGTGGGAGACTTTAACACCCCATTGTCAATATTAGACAGATCAACCAGACAGAAAATTAACAAGGATATCCAGGACTTGAACTCAGACCTGCACCAAGAAAACCTAATAGACATTTACAGAATTCTCCACCCCAAATCCACAGAATATACATTCTTCTCAGCACCACATCACACCGACTCTAAAATTGCCACATAATTGGGAGTAAATCACTCCTCAGCAAATGCAAAAGAACAGAAATCGTAACAAACAGTCTCTTAGACCACAGTGCAATCAAGTTAGAACTCAGAATTCAAACACTAACCCAGAAGTGCACAACTTCATGGAAACTGAACAACTTGCTCTTGAATGTTGACTGGATAAACAATGAAATGAAGACAGAAATAAAGATGTTCTTTGAAACCAATGAGAATGAAAACACAACATGCCAGAATCTCTGGGACACATTTAAAGCAGTCTCTAGAGGAAAATATATAGCAATAAATGCCCACATGAGAAGCAAGGAGAGATCAAAAATTGACACCCTATCGTCAAAATTGAAAGAGCTAGAGGAGCAAGATAAAAAAAAACTCAAAGTCTAGCAGAAGACAAGAAATAGCTAAGATCAGAGCAGAACTGAAGGAGATAGAGACACAAAAAACCCTTCAAAAAATCAATAAATCCAGGAGCTGGTTTTTTGAAAAGATCAACAAAATAGACAGACCACTAGCCAGATTAATAAAAAAGAAAAGAGAGAATAACCAAATTGATGCAATAAAAAACGATAAAGGGGATATCACCACAGATTCCACAGAAATTCAAACCATCCTCAGAGATTATTACAAACAACTCTATGCACATAAACTAGTAAACCTGGAAGAAATGGATAAATTCCTGGACACTTGCCTCCTGCCAAGCCTAAACCAGGAAGAAGCCGAAACCCTGAACAGACCCATAACAAGGTCTGAAGTTGAGGCAGCAATTAAGAGCTTACCACCCAAAAAAGCCCAGGTCCAGATGGGTTCACAGCTGAATTCTACCAGACATACAAAGAGGAGCTGGTACCATTCCTTCTGAAACTATTCCAAACAATCCAAAAAGTGGGAATTCTTCCCAAATCATTTTATGACACCAACATCATCCTGATTCCAAAACCCGGCAGAGACTCAACAAGAAAAGAAAACTTCAGGCCAATATCCATGATGAACATAGATGCAAAAATCTTCAATAAAATACTGGCAAGCGGATTGCAACAGTACATCAAAAAGCTTATCCACCATGATCAAGTAGGCTTCATTCTAGGGATGCAAGCCTGGTTCAACATACACAAGTCTATAAATGTAATTCACCACATAAACAGAACCAAAGACAAAAACCACATGATTATCTCAATTGATGCAGAGAAGGCCTTTGACAAAATTCAACAGCCCTTTATGCTAAAAACCCTCAATAAGCTAGGTACTGACGGAACGTATCTCAAAATAATAAAAGCTACTTACAATAAACCAACAGCCAATACCATACAGAATGGGCAAAAACTGGAAGCATTCCCCTTGAAATCTGGCACTAGACAAGGATGCCCTCTCTCACCACTCCTATTCAATATAGTACTAGAAGTTCTAGCCAGAGCAATCAAGCAAAAAAAGAAATAAAGGGTATTCAAATAGGAAAGGAGGAAGTCAAATTGTCTCTATTTGCAGACGACATGATTGTATATCTAGAAGACCCCATCGTCTCAGCCCCAAATCTCCTGAAACTGATAAGCAACTTCAGCAAAGTCTCAGGATACAAAATCAATGTGCAAAAATCACATGCATTCCTATACACCAATAACAGACTTAAAGAGCCAAATCAAGAACGAACTGCCATTCACAATTGCCACAAAGAGAATAAAATACCTAGGAATACAACTAACAAGGAACGTAAAGGACCTCTTCAGGGAGAACTACAAGCCACTGCTCAACGAAATCAGAGAGGACACAAACAGATGGAGAAACATTCCATGTTCATGGTTAGGAAGAATCAATATCGTGAAAATGGCCATACTGCCCAAAGTAATTTAGATTCAATGCTATCCCCATCAAGCTACCAATGACCTTCTTCGCAGAGCTGGAAAAAACCATCTGAAACTTCATATGGAACCAAAAGAGAGCCCGCATAGCCAAGTCAATTCTGAGCAAAAAGAACAAAGCAGGAGGCATCACACTACTGGACTTCAAACTATACTACAAGGCTACAGTAATCAAAACAGCATGGTACTGGTACCAAAACAGAGATATAGACCAATGGAACAGAACAGAGGTCTCAGAGGCAACACAACATATCTACAACCATCTGATCTTTGACAAACCAGACAAAAACAAGCAGTGGGGAAAGGATTCCCTGTTTAATAAATGGTGTTGGGAAAACTGGCTAGCCATGTGCAGAAAGCAGAAACTGGACCCCTTCCTGACGCCTTACACTAAAATTAACTCCAGATGGATTAAAGACTTAAACATAAGACCTAACACCATAAAAACCCTAGAAGAAAATCTAGGCAAAACCATTCAGGACATAGGTGTAGGCAAGGACTTCATGACCAAAACACCAAAAGCAATCACAACAAAAGCCAAAATAGACAAATGGGACCTAATCAAACTCCACAGCTTCTGCATAGCAAAAGAAACAGCCATTAGAGTGAATCGGCAACCAACAGAATGGGAAAACATTTTTGCAGTTCACCCATCTGACAAAGGACTGATATCCAGAATTCACAAAGAACTAAAACAGATTTACAAGAAAAAAACTAACAAGCCCATTCAAAAGTGGGCAAAGGATACGAACAGACACTTTACAAAAAAAGACATACATGAGGCCAACAGACATATGAAAAAATGCTCATCATCACTGGTCATCAGAGAAATGCAAATCAAAACAACATTGATATACCATCTCATGCCAGTTAGAATGGCGATCATTAAAAAATCTGGAGACAACAGATGCTGGAGAGGATATGGAGAAATAGGAACACTTTTACACTGTTGGTGGGAGTGTAAATTAGTTCAACCATTGTGGAAGGCAGTGTGGCGATTCCTCAAGGACCCAGAAATAGAAATTCCATTTGACCCAGCAATCCCATTACTGGGTATATATCCAAAGGATTATAAATCGTTCTACTATAAGGACACGTGCACACGAATGTTCATTGCAGCACTGTTTACGATAGCAAAGACCTGGAACCAACCCAAATGCCCATTGATGATAGACTGGACAAGGAAAATGTGGCACATATACACCATGGAATATTATGCAGCCATCAAAAACGATGAGTTTGGGTCCTTTGTAGGGACATGGGTGAACCTGGAAACCATCATTCTCAGCAAACTGACAGAAGAGCAGAAGATCAAACACCACATGTTCTCACTCATAGGTGGGTGTTGAACAATGAGAACACATGGACACAGGGAGGGGAGTACTACACACTGGGGTCAGTAAGGGAGAAATAGGGGAGGGACAGTGGGGGGTGGGGAGTTGGGGAGAGATAGCAAGGGGAGAAATGCCAGATGTAGGTGATGGAGAGGAAGGCAGCAAATCACACTGCCACGTGTGTACCTATGCAACAATCTTGGATGTTCTTCACATGTACCCCAAAACCTAAAATGCAATAAAATAAATAAATGGAAAAAAAATGTTTTGTAACGTGATACTGTTATAGGTATGTGGTGGTTGCACAGCATGCTGAATGCACTAAATGCCACTGAATTGTACACTGAAAAATGGCTAATGTTATGTTATGTGAATTTCACTTCAATTATAGAAATAAAACAACAGTACTCTGGTTAAGGTGCATGAGAAACTTTTTCGCTCTTGGGCAACAAGAGCAAAACTGTCTCAAAACTATCTCAAAACAAAAACCCTTAGCTCTACCACAACAAGAAATTAAAGTAAAGCAACCGCTGTGAAAATGTTTTGGAACATGATACTGTTATACGTATGTGGTGGTTGCACAGCACAGTGAATTTCACTTCAATTATAGAAAGAAAGCAACTGTACTCTGGTTAAGATGAATGAGAAACTTGCCATTTTCGTATGGTTGCTTTAATAAAGAGAATATTTAACACTTAGGAAAGAAGGAAGGAAGGGAAGGAAGGGAAGGAAGGAAGGAAGGAAGGAAGGAAGGAAGGAAGGAAGGAAGGAAGGAAGGAAGGAAATAGGGGGAATTCTTCTTAAGACTGAAAGTTTGCTTTACATAAGCTGCACTTGGTTTCCACAGAGAGAGGGAAATTCACCCCCTACCTTCTCCCAACCTCCAGCCCCTCCCAGTTCTGTTCTTCCATAGAAGTGACCAGTGGGGAATTTTTCTCTCCTTGTGTGACTTCACAGAGATGAATCATGGCTCCTTGAAAAACAGAAACAGGCAAGTTGGCTTAGGAATAATTAAACAGCAACAGACCAAGTTCCCTGAATCCAGGCACTGCCTCCACTAACAAGGCTTATCTATAAAATACTGTATTGTGTAAGCAAATCTTTTGAAAAATAGTATCTGGAGCTTTAAAGATGTGGACACAACTGATTTAAACATGTCACACCTGTCTTTAGAGAAAACTGATTATTTAGCCCACAAAAGCAAACCCATTTTCACAAACTGTCATCCATAAACATATTTTAAAAATTGCTTGTGTCAAAGATTTGTGTAAGTGGCTTAAATGTGAATTCAGGAAGACCAAGAATGCAAAATGGTATTTTGCTAACAAATGGAATTTGCTGCCCTTTGCAATTCTACAGCTGATTCCACTGCAGGATTTCATTTTTTATAGGAGGGAAGTTTTGACATTGTAAACATATGAAACTTATAAATCTGGTATTCACATTTCTTAAAAAAAAAAAAAAGATCAGTCACAATATGTTCTTTCCGTAATTGAAGGTCTTATCAGCAGAGAATTCTTGCTGTTTTTAAGTGTGTATAATACCAGTTCAAGCTCTCTAACCTGTTTCTGATCGGATCTTTTACATTCCTCACCCAATAATGCTAACATAGCTCTTTCAGTAAGCCATAATAGTGTTCGAAATTTGTAAGTAGTTTATGCATTCCTCTTATCCTCATCCTTGATTGTAAGGTCCTTTTGAAGAACATTTTAATAATTATTTGCCCATGTATCTTAGGGAAAATCTGTTAACCCTTCTGACTATGTGGAAAAGGCACCATTGAAGGTGAGAAGCAGCTTGGCTTACATCTGCTGTAAAATGCTTTCCTGGTATGAGTGGAATCTCAAGTTGCAAGCTAACAGGTAAAGAAGCGATAAGCTGGCCGGGCGCAGTGGCTGATGCCTGCAATTCCAGCATTTTGCGAGGCTGAGGCGAGTGGCTCACCTGAGGTGAGTGGATCACCTGAGGTCAGGAGTTCAAGACAAGCCTGGCCAAAAGGATGAAACCCCATGTCTACTGAAAATACAAAAATTAGCTCAGCTTGGTGGCGTGTGTCTGTAATCCCAGCTGCTCGGGAGGGTGAGGCAGGAGAATTGCTTGAACCTGGGAGGTGGAAGTTGCAGTGAGCCAAGATTGTACCACTGTACTCCAGCCTGGGTGACAGAGTGAGACTCCATCTCAAAAAAAAAAAAAAAAAAAGATAAAAAATTATGCAAGGAGAAAAAGAAGTCATTTAATTGCAAAGTATCAAAGAGTAAATGCTAACTGAAAAAGATACATTTACTGAATGACTTGTGGGCAGGGTAAACAAGGAATTACAAAGAAAGACCATGAAGGAAATGGCCTTTTATTTCTAGAGGCTGTTAGAAAACGCTCTCTGGGTTTTAATCTTTTTTCCCCTCAAATGAAGTAAAAAGTCCTAAGTGGTGGCCGGCTGCAGTGGCGCACGCCTGTCATCCCAGAACTCTGGGAGGCCAAGGTGGGCAGATGACCTGAAGTTGGGAGTTCGAGACCAGCCTGACCAACATGAAGAAACCCTGTCTCTACTAAAAATACAAAATTAGCTGGGCGTGGTGGCGCATGCCTGTAATCCCAGCTACTTCAGAGGTAGGAGAATCGCTTGAATCCAGGAGGCAGAAGTTGTGGTGAGCCGAGATCACGCCATTACACTCCAGCCTGGGCAACAAGAGCGAAACTGTCTCAAAACAAAACAAAAAACCCTAAGTGGTTCCACCACAACAAGAAATTAAAGTAAAGCAACTGCCGATGAAAATGTTTTGGAAAGTGATACTGTTATAGGTATGTGGTAGTTGCACGGCACCCTGAATGTACTAAATGCCACCGAATTGTTAACTGTAAAATGGTTAATGTTATGTGAATTTCACTTTAATCATAGAAATAAAGCAACTGTACTCTGGTTAAGGTGAATGAGAAACTTCTGCCATTTTCTTACTGTTGCTTTAATAAAGAGAATATTTAACACTTCAGAAACATGGTATCAAAAAAATTCTTAGAGGAATTCGGCAATTAAATCAGAGGAAGCAAGAGTTAACCAAGGAGCAGTTATACAATGTTTTTTTCCTATATTATTTTTTCCAGCCTACCTAAAAACTGTAAATGGTCATCATCAGGTTTTAATATCTTCTCTGACTCCTCCTTTCCTAATCTCTCTCCTATGCAGATTCTCTCTTTCAATATTTATTGAACTCCTACACGCCCCACGCTCTAGCATAGGTGCTAGGACTGCCGAGATGAGTGATACACCTCACCGTTCCCCAAGGAGTTCATGGTCTGTATTCAAATTTTTAAAACATCTCATGATACTTCCCTACTGACTCTAGTTACACAACCTTTAAAACTTTAAGGATCTCTCTTAACTTGGAGGGTGGCAGCCCTTCCTAGGCTCTCCCATTACATATTCAATTATCTGTGCTGTTTGTAACCCCTTCTTCTATTTTTTTTTTCCTAAGGTCAAAGGGAGATTTTAAAGATTCTAAACAGAAACATCACTTTCTTGATTTTCAAGTGCTGTACAAATAGAGCTGCTTCACATGATCCTTTAAAATAAGCACCAAAAGTCTGTGAAGCTGGGACTGGTTCTAGGAATTACTTACGCATCTAAGGTCATTTCAAAGGCTTCCCTTCTCTTCACCCCACCCTCTGTTCCCACCTCACCACCAGCACCTCCCATTACCCTCATCTACAAGGCCAGGTCTCTGGAGCTCACTGCCTTTGACCACATGAGTTCCTTCATCGAAAACCGTTTTGTTTTCATCCTGTTTTCCTTATTCTTATCCTCTCACAACTGAATTAGTTTTCATTCAACTTTCATTTTTGTTTTCACTGTGACCTCACAGCTATCCATTGGCTTTCACCTTGAAAGGAAGAATCCCCACCAGCCTCAAATCCAAAATGCGCCTGTGATGGGCTGGAACAGTGACAACTCAGAGTGACGCAGGCAAAGCAAAACGAGAGCAAAAATCGCAAGCAAAGCCACGCTGGCTTCTGCAGAGAGGAAAAACGTCGTGTTTGCCAAGTGGGAAAAAGTATCAATTTCGAAAGAAAAATCATTTTCAAGCTGCTGAGAGTCCCCCAAAATGGAGATGAATAAAAACAACTCAAAGCAATCTAACTGCTAATACACAACCTAATTTTGACACAGATGTTGTTCTGAACTCACTCAATGTGAAACAGAAGCTATAATGTTTAAACTAAATACCTCATTTATGGATGGAAGCAGCTACAGGTTTTCACTCAGCCAATGCGTCAGTGGCACAGCTGGTAATTTCACCATGCAGCTAGGAAAGCAGTTTGTCAGTCACAAGAAATCAGATATTTGGGAGGATTTTCACATCAAACCACTTCTCACAGTGGACTCTGACCATCATCAGATTCGCTAAATGCATGTACAGTTCAGGGCCTGTCCTTCTGTATCTTTAAGGAGGCTGCCAAATTTACAGCGGATATATGGAGCGGAAACACACAGTGGGAAGGTGTAACACGGGCATTATTCTAACGCATTATGGAGGACTGGGCGACAGAGGAGCAGGAACTGAAGAAACCTAAACAAATGGCTCCCAATTATGATTTCATTAATCTTGGAAAACATGAAGGAGTTGACAAGTGTGATCTAATTGTTTCTCAGTTGACTTGGCTTGAAAAACCTTACTCTTACTTAATTCCATTTACAGATAAGCATCTTGGGACAGCTGACCTTTTCTTTGTATAGCCAAGTTTCCATTGAACATGTTATAAAGTTTTTTGATCACCACAGAATATAACACCAGATGAAGGTCATTATACAAAGAGAATCAAATAAATAACAGTTAAGGAGAAAAAGTTCCCGTAAGGGTTCTGGCATATCAACAAGAAGTTAATTGCCTCTTAATATTTCAAATACATGTTAATTAGTAGGCTAATAAAAATTTTATATACTATACAAACAGTGATCATCTTGGTGTCACCTAGTTTGTGGCTCACCACAGAAAATACCTAATTAAAAAAAAAATCACAGTATCCTACTTATAGACAATAACCCACCATCCATGTTATCAACTTTTTTTTTTTTTTTTTTTGGGATGGATTTTTGCTCTATCCCCCAGGCTGCGGTGCAGTGACCTCAGCTCACTGTAACCTCTGCCTCCTGGGATCAAGCAATTCTCCTGCCTCAGTCTCCTGAGTAGCTGTGATTACAGGCACACAGCACTATGCCCGGATAATTTTTGTAGTTTTAGTAGAGAGGGTGTTTCACCATGTTGGCCAACCTAGTCTCGAACTCCTGACCTCAAGTGATCTGCCTGCCTCGGCCTTCCAAAGTAGTGGGATTACAGGTGTGGGCCTCCACACCTGGCTGTCAACTTTCTACTGCTATGAACTTAGACATTTCACAGCTCAAACTAGGTATGGAACCTGGAAAAAAATGACTAAATAAAATAATGGCCTTCTTTCATGCAAAGCGTGAGTGAGTGTAGATGTAATAAGTACATCTAAATTTGTCATGGTGAATTAAACCAGCTTCAGGCAAAGAAGCAGAGTATTAGGCTGAAATGGTCTATTTCTTTTCAATTTGTTATACAAAGAGAATCTGAAATTTATTTTTTACTTGATCAAAAATTAAATTAGGTTTCGTTTTTGTATGCAGAGCTCTTTCCTTGAGTTATTTGATAATGGCCAGGGTGGAAGGAAGCCAGTAACCAAACACTGCAGACTTGGGGAGCCCTCCTGGTTTTTCAGACTCTTAATAAAGTCTGACAAGAGCACCAGAGTAGGGAGTGGGTGTCTTTGTTTTTGTGATGACTCACTTTATCCAGTATTCATTCATCTATTTTTAAGTCATTCCACAAATATGTGGAAGCTTTTCTAGAAAGGGACCATGGAAAATGCAAAAATACTTGGCCTTTACCCTGGAGAGCTTTATAGATCTTTTCCCCCCAGAATAAGCGGTCCTCCTACTTTAATAATCAGCAATCTCACAAATTAAATTTTCTCTTCCTCTCTTTGAAACAAACCAATTCCTTTTCAGGAGTATATTTTCAAGAGAATATGAGACTAGCCTTCTCACTCTAAGACTGACTCAGAGACTCCTACTTATAGAAAAAAACTAAAGACACAATAGTGAAAAAATCTTCAGTCTTCAAGATACAAAAGAGTACCAGCAAATAGAATATTTAAAATTCATTTTAATGTGGGATCAATGTTTACTTTACATTAGCAGAAGAACATAGAAGAGATTATGAAGGGCTGAGATCAATCAGGCTATTTAGACATAGTTTTAGAAGGGTTAACAAAGTGTTCCATGACTCTTTGGGCAATCAACAGAACCATTAGAAAAACAGCAGATATAGAAAAACTCAGCAGCATTATCAATCAACAGGATCTCATAGACTATTATATGCACATTCTTTTCAAATGCCCAAGGAATACTCAACAAGACAAACCATATCCTGGATGAAAAAAACTGAATATATTTTAAAATAGAGTATGTTCTCTGATCATAGTGAAATTGAACTAGAAATCAATAACAGAAAGATAATAGGGAAAATCTCCCAACACTTGGAAATTAAACCAAACACTGTATATAATCTACGGGTCAAAGATGAAGTCTTGAAGAACATAAAAAATACTTAGAACTGAATGAAAGTGTAATATATCAACATTTGTAGGATGAAACTAAAGCAGTTGCTGAGAGGAAAATGTATAGCATTAAATGCTTGTATTAGAAAAGAATAAATATCTTAAATAAACAACCTAAGTTGCAATCTTAAGAAACTAGAGGTTGGGCACGGTGGCTCACGCCTGTAACTCCAGCACTTTGGGAGGCTGAGGTGGGAGGATGGCTTGAGCCCAGGTGTTCGAGACCAGCCTGGGCAACACAGTGAGACTCCGTTTCTAAATTTTTTTTTTTTTTTTAAATAAAGAGAATCTTGAATACTAGAACAGGCTAAAAGTACTTTAATGTATGCTGCAGAGAGGAAGAATGATTTCTGATTTAAATAGGGTCTTCATTTTCTATGGAATTAATCTGTATTTCAAGTCTACTTGTTATCTCTTTACTCCATTTTTCCTGAGGCGAAAGTATATGCTTCGTGAGGAGCTGTTTTATTCAATCCTTAAAGAACCTCCTGCATTAAAGATATTTTTCAAAAATACTAGATAACTTTTTAATTGAGCAAGTTAGCTAATACTGGTGGAATCTAATACATTTCTAAAGAAAACTGGAGTTATGCTACACTGACAAGCAACATAACCTTGGTTACGTAGGTCTCTCTGGCATGGGCAATTTCATGGATGTTCTTAAAGTGAACATGAAGACTTTAACTTCTTGATTTGCATGACTTTTATGGGATTTTCTGGGTCAAGTGAATAGTGAGCCATTTTCACAGATCACCTCAGGCCATTTAGAAGTGGAGCTGTGTTTTACTTTTTTTTTTGAGACAGAGTATCGCTCTGTCGCCAGGTGCCAGGCTGGAGTGCAGTGTCACGATCTTGGCTCACTGCAACCTCCGCCTCCTGGGTTCAAGCAATTTTCTGCCTCAGCCTCCTGAGTAGCTGGGACTACAGGCATGTGCCACCATGCCCAGCTAATGTTTTGTATTTTTTAGTAAAGACAGGGTTTCACCATGTTGGCCAGGACGGTCTCAATCTCTTGACCTCATGATCCGCCCGCCTCGGCCTCCCAAAGTGCTGGGATTACAGGCATGAACCACCTCGCCCGGCCTGTGTTTACTTTTATACCTCGAGTGCACAGTATAAATCCTGTCATAGAGTAGGGTTCTAGTCAGGTTTCATCATGAGATTACAGGTATTCAGTCACATCTTCAGGCTCTACTTCTAATTCTAGCTCTGTTGCTATTTCCATCATCTCTGCAATTACTTCTTCCACTTGAGTCTTGAACCTCTCAAAGTCATGCGGGAGGGTTGGAGTATACTTCTTCCAAACTCCTGTTTTTTGACATCTTCCCATAAATCAAGGATGTTCTTAATGGCATCTAGAATGGTGAATCTTTTCCAGAAGGTTTTCAATCGACTTTGTCCAGATCCATCAGAAGAGTCACTATCTATGGCAGCTATAGCCTTACAAATGTTTTCTTAAATAATGAAACTTGCAAGTCAAAATTACTCCTTGATTTATGAGCTGCAGAATGGATGCTGTGTTAGCAGGCACGAAAACATTAATCTCCTTGTACACCTCCACTGGAGTTATTGGATAATTAGGTGCATTGTCAATGAGCGGTAATATATTGTATTTTTTAAAAATAAAAATCATCCAGCCCAAAAATGTCAAGAGGAGTAATATTTTGAAAGGAAGCTTTGTCTCTGAGTAGTAGTTCTCAATAGTGGGTTTAAAATATTCAATAAACCATGCTGTAAACAGATGTGCTGTCATCTAGGCTGTGTTGTTTCATTTACAGAGCACAGGCAGAATAGAATTAGCATAATTCTTAAGGGCCCAAGGATTTTCAGAATGGTAAATGAGCACTGGCTTCAACTTAAAGTCACCAGCTACATTAGCCCCTAACAAGAGATTCAGCTGTGTCCATTGAGACTTTGAAGCCAGGTATTGACTTCTCCTCTGTAGCCATGAGAGTCCTGAATGACATCTTTGAATCTAAGGCTGTTTTGTCTATATGCAAAATATGTTGATTAGTGTAGCCATTTTAGTCAATTACCTTAGCTAGATCTTCTGCATAAATTGCTGCAGCTTCTACATCAGCTTCCGCTGCTCCACCTCGCACTTTTATGCTATGGAGATGGCCTCTTTCCTTAAGCCTTAACCAATCTTCTTTGCTACCTTCAAACTTTTCTTCTGCAGCTTCCTCACCTTTCTCAGTCTTTACTGAATTAAAGAGAATTAGGACCTTGTCCTGAATTAGGTTTTGGCTTAAGGGAAGGTGGCTGGTTTGATTTTATATCCAGACCACTCAAACTTTTTCCATATCAACACAATGAGGCTATTTTATGTGCTTATCATGAAACCAGTGTTTCACTGGAATAGCACTTTTAATTTCCTTCAAGAACTTTTCCTTTGCATTCACAACTTGGCTAACAGCCTGTTGCAAATGGTTTCCTCACTAAGTTTAGTCATTTCTAGCTTTTGATTTAAAATGCAAAACATGCAAACACTACCTTTCACTTCAACACTGAGAGGCCACTGCAGGGTTATTAACTGGCCTAATTTCAATATTGTTGTGTCTCACAGAGAGGGAAGCCCAAGGGGAGAGAGAGAGAGAAAGACAGTGGATGGCAGGTTGTTGGAGCAGTAAGAACACATACATTTACTGAGTAAGTCTTATTAAGTTCACAGTATCCCCAAACAGTTACAACAATAACATCAAAGATTACTGGTCACAGGCTGGGCGTGGTGGCTCATGCCTGTAAATTAGCCAGGAGTGGTGGTGGGTGCCTGTAATCCCAGCTGCTCAGGAGGCTGAGGAAGGTGAATTGCTTGAACCAGGGAGGTGGAGGTTGCAGTGAGCCAAGCTCACGCCACTGTACTCCTGCCTGGGCGACAGAGTGAGACTACATCTCAGAAAAAAGAACTGATATTTATTTCTTACAGTTCTGGAGCCTGGGAATTCCAAGATCAAGGCACCAGCCAGTTCTGGGTCTTGCGTACTACTTGGCACACTGATAAATGGTAACTGTTTAAGAAAACAGTATGTCCTGTTACTAAGGAAAGATCTACAGGGAGTTACTTTCCCCCTCCTTAGTGATGGTCTTACTTACCAAATCTGGCTTCACCTGGTGAATCAGAGGGAGGGACAGCCACATGGAGTGCAAGGTGGTAAACACCGTGGAGGGCCAGGACTGCTGAACCTCACGGCTTCTTGGAATTCGGTGAATGTAGTATTTGGTATACTAGAAGGAAATAGAAGGAATCCAAATCAATGGAGTCACTGATACCTACAGTTAACAGCTGTAGGAATTGAAGTGCTTTCTTGCTTATTTTAAATTTTCATTTTAACCCTTTTTAAATTAGAGTTGTAAAGCCTATCTCATGCCTTATATAACACATCAGATGGGATCACACATGACAAAGAAGTTCCTATGATTAAAAAAATGTTCAAGTCAGTTTGAACAATAAATTGGGGGAAGTTTCTATAAAGTATGTTTCAGGTAAATAATTTAACCTGTTCATATACGAAGAGTTCTTACCAGTCAATATATAAGACAGGTAACCTAGTATCAAGATGGGCAAAGATGGACAGATAACTCCAAACAGAAGAAATACAAGTAATGATAAACATATAAAAAGATGGCTAACAATTAAGCACAACAGAAAACAAGTCATTTTCACCAACCTAGTTGGCAATGACAATGGATACCCAGTGTTGTTGAGAGTGTAGGGAAACAGTCATTCACATTCCCTGGGTAAATACATGGGTACAACTTTTTGGGAGGGCAATCTGGAAATATCTATCAGAACTTTAAATGTGTTTCCCTTTGATTCAGCATTTCTGCTTCTGGAAATATATCCTACAGATTACCCCACTATATCATTGTTTGTGTTTGTGGAAACTGAAACTAGACCAAATGTTCTCCAGTAGGGAATGGGGAAGTGCATATAGTAAAATATATGGAGATATTAACAAATGACATAGAACTATTTGAAATCATATGGAAGATATCCTAAGACACATTAAGTGAATCATTCAAGTTGGAAGACAGCATGTTTAATATAATCCAGCATCAATTAACAAAATACTCATATGCAAACACACACACATTAGTATTTGTTTGTTTGGTTTCTTTTGAGACAAGGCGTCACTCTGTTGCCCAGGCTGGAGTGCATGGTGCAATCACAGCTCACTGCAGCCTTGACCTCCCTGGGCTCAGGTGATCCTCCCACCTCAGCCTCCCAAGTAGCTGGAACCACAGGCATATGCCAGCACACCCAGATCTTCTCACTTCAGCCTCCAATAGCTGGGACCACAGGTGTAAGCCACCACAGGTGTGAGCTAATTTTTTTGTATAGACAGATTTCGCCATGTTGCCCATTCTGGTCTTGAACTTCTGTGTTCAAGTGATCTACCCACCTTGGACTCCCAAATTACAGGGTTGAGCCACCACACCTGGCCCATGCATTAGTATTTGTATTTTAAAAATCTGGAACTGGGCTGGGCATGGTGGTTCACACCTGTAATCCCAGAACTTTGGGAGACCCAGGTGGGTGGACCATCTGAGGTCAGGAGTTCAAGACCAGCCTGGCCAACATGGTGAAACCCCATTCTCTACAAAAAATAGTCGAGTGCCTATAGTCTTAGCTATTTGGGGGCTGAGGTGGGAGAACTGCTGAATCTTAGAGGCGGAGTTTACAAAAAGCAGAGATTATGCCACTGCACCCTAGCCTGGGCTACAGAGCAAGAGTCTGTCTCAAAAAAAAAAAAAAAAAGAAAGAAAGAAAAAGAAAAAAATCTAGAACTGGAACTACATACCACAAATTATAGAGGATGATATTATAGGATATTTTCATTTTTCAGGTCAGAATATCTTTGAATATGTTTGAAATTTACAACAAGAAAGTGATATTATTTTCATAATCAAAAGAAACCAATGTATTTTCCTTGAATCAAAGTTCCAGGTATACTGGTTACCTATTTCTGTGTAACAACTACCTCCAAACTTAGCAGTTAAAACCACAGGTATATTCTGTTTCTCCTAGTGTCTGTGGGTCAGGAACCCAGGAGTGGCTTAGTTGGGTTATTCTGGATTACAGTGACTCATGAACTTGAAATCAAGTGGGTGGCTGGGGCTGCAGTCATCTGAAGGCTTGACTGGGGCAGAAGAATCCACTTCCAAGGTGGCTCACTCATTTGGCTGGCCATTTAGTGCTGATTGTGAGTTGGTATCCTTAGTTCCTTGCCAAATGCATCTTTCCATAGGGCTCCTTAAGTGTTCTCATTACACAACAGCCAGCCTCTCAAAAGTAAGTGCTCTGAGAGAGGGCAAGGCAGAAACTGTAATGTCTTTTATGACCTGACCTCAGAAGTCACATTTTGATATTTCTGATAGTTTGATGTTAGTTACACAGGTCAACCCTATTTGATACGGAAGGGGCTACACTGGAATGTGAATACCAGGAAGTGAGAATCACTGAGGGCTTTCTTGGAGACTGGCTACCACACAGTTAAGTCAGAAAGTAAAGAACTGAATATTTAATACATTCTTCCTCTCCCTTTGGCCTTGAGAAACAATATGTTCCTTGAGAAAAGAAGAATAGAAAAGCTTTTTTCTAAACTAGTGAAAAGCATATAACTACTTTTTGCACTCAGAAAAAGGTGTGATATTGCGTTCGGAGGGTTCTATTATGCTCCAAGAGGACACAAGTGCAGTTCTTATAGGCTCAGCACAAAGCGAAAATGGAAACGTGTGACCACCCTGCTTCTTCGTATGACGGCAAAGAGTATTTTCTCCTCTCTCCATGGCATGCCAGAGTATAATGGGGGATCTGGGCTCAATATGTATTCACTATTTTTATTTATTTATCAATCTTTTATCAAATCAATGTTTTTTTTCCCCTTCCAAAAGCTTAAGGTACTAAATATTGAACTAGAAATTAATACCAAGTAGTTTCCAAACTATAAACTGGACAGAAGCAATAGCAAATCGTTTGAGGTTTATGCTCATCTAATTTGCGGAGATTATTAATTGAAAAACAGGTAATAGGCTAAGTGGTACTGTAGAGTCAAAATCCTTTCTCAGAGAAACCTTTTGGGTCAGAAGTGTTTGGATAGGTAATATGGTTTATACACCATGTATTATATACTATCCTCTTTTGGAGTTTGGGAAAGAAATAAAACACACTAGTATTTCTGCAACAAAACGTTAATATTCACAGTAAACAGGATAAATAAAGACTATGCTGATTCAAATCAGGTTTTGCCGTTAAATTAGCTTGGGACAAACTGGAATTTTTTTTCCAGTTTTCAGAGCTCTTTAGGATTTCAGACTAAGGAACTGTGGACCTACACTACAAACTACATTTGAGTCCAGTAAGATATCATGTCATTGTTATCATTGTGATAAAAATAATTCAGTAGAATTCCATCATAGAAGTTTTTTGGCTGTTACTTCCACCAAATTGTGTGGCCTAATTTCAATATGTATAATATTTTCTTTAAAAAAGCATGGGTGTTTATTATGTTCCTTTAATTTTTTCAAGGCTGTGAGTATATAACTTTACAAAGAAGCGGCAATGAACAGTATTTCTGGATTACATCCAGGCACTGTCACAAGGGACTGGAAAGGTGATCAGTTTGATTCTGGCTCCTCTGATTTTATCTTGGCTCCAAGGACATAAATATCCAGGCCTGATAAGGCCTATGCAAAAGTTTCTGGGGCTGGAGATAGCTTTCCTAGACCTGGACATGGAAGAAAGTCTACATCTCATCCTTGGCAGCAGGCTGAAGCAGCTAAGAAAATGAGTTTAGGAAGTCCCAGTCCATTTTCAGAAGAACAGAAACTAGTGCAAGCATGTTCCAGGATGGGAACGGAGGAACCTCCAAGATATAAAATAGAAAATCAGGCCTGAGGGTAGGGCAATAAGACAAGTAACTAACATTTGATGAACTATCTCTCTCTCTCTTTTTTTTTTTTTTAAGAGACAGGGTTTCACCATGTTGTTCAGGCTGATCTTGAACTCCTGACCTTATAATCCACCTGCCTCAGCCTCCCAAAGTGCTGGGATTACAGGCGTGAGCCACCGTGCCCGGCCAAACTCTCTCTCTCTTTTTTTTGAGACAGAGCCCTGCTCTTGTCACCTAGGCTGGAGTCAAGCGGCGTGTTCTCGGCTCACTGCAACCTCCACTTCCTGGGTTCAAGAGATTCTCCTGCCTCAGCCTCCTGAATAGCTGGGATTACAGGCACCTGCCACCACGCCTGGCTAACTTTTGTATTTTTAGTAGAGATGGGGTTTCACCATGTTGGCCAGGGTGGTCTCGAACTCCTAACCTCAGGTGACCAGCCCACCTCCGCCTCCCTAATGCTGGGATTAAGGATTGAGTCACCCTGCCTGGCCTGATGACCTCTCTTTTGATCTGTGGATGTACCATACAAGGTGCCAACTTCCCAGTCTCCAGACCAGAAGTTTAGCTGGGAGGGGAGTCTCGGTTCCACTGGTATGCTGGAGCTAGCTCAGCCAGTGACCACATGCCTACAGTGACCAATCATCTAGATTGCAGAGGATGGTCTTGGTTTACACCTATTGTCTCAGCATAATTATTGATAGTGCCCCATCTGCTCTCAGAAGTATCAATTTAAATGATAAAGCACATGGCTATCCTAGGGCAGGGCAATGAAGAGCCTCTTCCAAGTTAGAAAGGAGGATACTTATTCAGTACAGCCTGAAGAGTCAATATGATGGGAGAATCTGCATCAATGTCAGGGATGAAAGTTGAAGTGGTAGCTGGAAAGAAAGCCAAGCCG